AATAAAATTATCAAATTTGCAGGGAAAAAAGCAAAAAGAAGTGTTGGCTTGTCGATATTCGTGCCACAATATGCCGCCGTTTCGATGCTGGCAATTCCAGGGTGGACTTCTCATTACACTGCCAACATTTTGCGATGAGATTGCCGCTTACTGTGTGTCGAATGCCGATGAATCAGACGTTACCAAGGATTATCACGCACTGATTGATATGATAAAACTGATGCGAAGCGGTCTCCAAGCGGTATCACTAAGAATTAAAGAGAACAGCATCCTTTCCCTTATCTATCGGCTGATGCCTGGATTGTTGGAGTGGAAAACTTTATTAGCGTAGAAATACTGATTTAGCAACAAGCAAGGAGTTGAGGCCAAAAATAATGGAATTTTATCATTAAAAACTTAAAAACAGTCCAGTTGCCGGAAGTAGGTAAAAATCAAGGATGCTGCTCATGCTTTTGGTGTTGTGCTTTTGGTATTGTACTTGACGGTCCCGTTGCAAATGTTCCAAATTCTTGATTCCCGGTAGCGATAACGGGGCAAAAGAAATAATGATATGTGGGTGCCATACACAATGAAAGCAAATCATAAGGAAAAATTCGCAGTAATGCTTACTCATTTACTCGAAACGGCTAATAGTTCTTTTTTCATCTCATGGTCGCTTCAGCCAAGGCCCTTCTATCCCAAGTTGCGTACTTCCAGTTAATATCCACCGCTTGTATGTGCGTTACCCCTTTGCCGGCTGTCTGAATAGTCGTTTAACTTCTTACGTGTATCACTCATGCGCACGCCCACACTGGTGTTGGCAATGAGAGCAACATACTCTGCTCATCGAAAGTTACCTTCTCGCATGGTCGCAATGATATCCTATAATATAACCGAGAGAAGTGCTTTTCAGGAAGCAATAACAACTCTGCGCGAAATCTATATACCGTTGTTCTACGGACTGCCAAACACAACGGTAAATCTTGCGGATGCACTGTGCAAAACGGTACCACACATCGACAAGCTTTTCCAGCCAGATGGTTTCTGTGATCTCGGAGTGCCAGGCCATGAACCGAGCTATCTTGTTGGGCCCCGTCTGACAACCAGCATCCAGAGCGTCGATCGAATTGAGGTGATGCACACACCGGATCCCGATGAAATTATGTACGTTCGAAAGTTTTGTGCACTTTTTTCATAAGTGCAAAACTTGACCAGCGTCCAGTTGGTAGCATTTCCTGGATGCCGTTATTTGCTCGAAACTACAAGCAAAAGCTCGAAACTACAAGCTCGAAACTACAAGCATTTTGAAACGACAAGCATCCCCAAACAGTTAAGTGTCCCTTGAACAGCATTTATAATTTTGCATTCGGTCAAATCGAATATACGCATTTTTCATTTCAGCAACTGTTGAACTAAGCTTTAAAAGAGGTGCTGGAACTGGGCAAAATTATAAATGTTTTATTGCTATAAAATATCATTTACAGTAAATTTTCTTTTGCGAAAATTTCATGCAGCGATAGAATATGAGGGAAATTTGAAGTTAGAGTAGTAAAAGTTGGTTTTTGAAGTCTAAAAAAAATTTTTTTTGTTGTACCGTCATGATAAAAAAACTTGTGATGTTTTCTTTCCTCGAAGAGTTATGTATACCAACTACCAGGAACGCCAAGGCTGTCCGAACAGCCTGTGTGGGTATCCCATTTTAATAGCTACTGTATTCTGCTAGATGTTGAGCTCACCAATTTCAAGCCATTCAATCCAGAAATGCGTTACTGGTTGTATCATGAATGTAATGTAAATAAATTGTAAGTAACTGTTAGGACTATCAAAATCCGTCTAATACTATTCGAATGTCCACAAGAATGACAGCAACAATATTATTATTGTCAGTGTCATAACGATAATAATGATTTATAAAAAAATTGACAATGAAATCGGAAGTGCCAACAATAATAATAACAATACTACTTTTTATGCGTTTTGTGCTGTGTAACAGCAGTACAAAACGCATATTGTTACGGGGTTGTC